TTTTTGGTATGAGGGATCAAACTCAAGACCTCGTGCTTGCAAGGCAGGCAGCAGAACCACTGAGCTAAATCCCCGGCCCTGAGAGGATCTTGATATGTCACCCAGGCTGGCCTTGGATTCATGATCCTCCACTTCCTTTAGCCTCCAAAGTGCTGGTATTATAGGTATGTGCCACCATGCCTGATTTCGACTTTTCTTTATTTTTCATCCTAAATACTCATTTCTTAATTTATATGCAATTTTAATTCTATCTTCTTGGTGCAAGTGAGGATCTGCTCGGGGCCAACTACAAAATCTCAGAGGAGACTTTCCTCCATTTCTCTCATTACCAAAATTAAAAACAGACCATTTTTCCTGTAATCCTCTGGGGTGGGGGTTTCCAGTTCTCTCTACCCTGAGGATGCAACCCTTTGGAGTCCCGGATTGATGCAGGCGCTCTTATTAAATTCCTTACTCTACACTGTCTTCTTCCAGTTCCACGAGACCATGAAAGGCAGCTCAATCTGGCTTAAGAAATACCCTCAAAATAAAAGTCCTGTTTTAGTGTTTCTTCCCCTAAAAAGATTCCTTTCTTAACTCATTTTCTTGGCTCAGTATTATTTCATTATGGCAAGCGTATAAATTATTTAAGAAAATATGGACACATAGGTTTAAAAAGATGTTTTCAGCAGACAAGTACTCACTTTGGCATATTTATGGAAATTGAGTTCAAGGCAAAGATGGGGCAAATAATAAGCTTTGGTGCTCGGCATGGTACTAGGAACGGAAAATTCTTTCTGTCTGTTCTCATTAACTTTTCTGCTGTTAGACCATTGTCTTTCCTGTAGCTTCTTCCCGACAAGTCTAAAAATACGTTTGAAACTCAAGATTATGCATAGCCTGATTAGGGTGCCTCATCCCCTTGTGAGGTAGCGGTCTTTTGTGATCCCCTCCAACTAAGTATGTTGCGACCCATGAAATTATGTTCTGCCCTCCCAGAGAACTCTCCTTTGAACTGCAGAAATAATAAAACATCTCCCCGATGTTGGATTTTTAAAAAATTTTTGTGATCTATTTTGACATAGAAAAGTAGTTAAACTTAAGTAGGTAGTTCTTCATAGATGTTTTGTGGGTTTGAATTTTGAAATATTTGGCAAAGAATCTCCAAAGGGTAAGTAGCAAAGCCAGTATTCATATTCTAGTCCCAAAGCCTATTTCCATTGTACTTCACCTGTCTAGATAACGCGAGTTATGGCTGTGACTCTCTATTACTTTGTTTTCACTTTTTTATTTTAATGGGCCACAGGCACATATCACTATCTCTGACCCATGCAATTTACTTTAATGTATTATTTAGGCCTTTAGCTTTTCAAAAATAATAAATCCTTCACCTATACAAACACTAGGATGACATCAATAGTTTATATTTACTTTTGTGCTCCTGTACAATCCCATATATCCAGCCTTTTCTCATCCACCACCACCCCAAGAAGCTACTACATGGAATTCTAAATTTAGTGCTTATTCTTTTTGTTTGATTTTGTTTTATTTATTTTAACAAACTTATATGTATTATAATCCATACATCAGATAAAGGGTTAATAATCAAAATACGCAAAGAATTTGTATAATTCAACTGTGAGCAAAATAAACAATTCTATTAAAATGGGCAAAATCTGAATAGATATTTCTCAAAAGAAGATATGCAAGTGTCCAACAGGCACATGAAAAAATGTTTAGCATCATTAATCAAAACCACAATGAGATATCAAGTCACATCTGTTAAAATGGCTATTATCAAAAAGATAAAAGGTAACAAGAGATGGTAAAGATATAGAGAAAATGGAACCGTTTGTACAGTGGAGATTGGTACAGCACTATGCAAAACAATATGGAGATTCTCAAAACGATTAACCATAAAACTACCACATGATCCATCAGTCTCACTTCTGGGTATTTATCCGAAGAAAATGAAGTCAGCATCTTGAAAAGATGTTCATGGAGACTTTATTCACAACAACTATGACCTAAACGTCCATCAGAGATGAATGCATAAAGAACATCTGGCATATTTGTGACATATTATAATGGAATTCTATTCAGAGTTTAAAAAGAAAGGAATCCTGATATTTGTGACAACATGGAGAAGCCCGGAAGACACTATATTGAGGAGAATAAGCCAGGCGCAGAAAGACAAAATTGCAGTGTCACTCATATGTGGAATGTAACATTGTCATACACATGAAGGCAAAGAGTAAAGTGGTTTCCAGGGGTGGAAGAAACGGGGCAATGCTAGGGTTAGGGCACAAAGCTTCAGTTATGAATGATGAATAAGTTCTGAAGACCTAATATGCAGCAGGGTGATTACAGTGAGCAATATTGCATGCTTGAAGCTTGCTAGTAGAGAGCAAGTAGTGTCGCCACCAAAAAGAAAAAGAAAAGCAACTGAAGTAAAGAAAACGGTAACTCTGTTAATTAATTACTTTAACTATAATCAAATGTAATGATGTATATATTAAAACATTAATTTATAGAACTTAAATATATGAAGTTTGCCAATTATACCTCAGTAAAGCTGAAAATTAATTTCATTATCATTCAAAAAATCCATTTGTCCTTCTGTATGAGCCAGAAATAATAATGTGAGTTTTGGAGTTTTTTATTTGTTAATGGATATATAAATGGTAAATTTTAGCAGGTGTCACGTTGCATTTCAAAATGTATACATTGTGCAATATTTAAATCAGGGTAAACATATCTATTGCCTCAAACATTCATTTTTTCTCATTTTTGAAATACACAGTGTATTGCTGTTAAGGAAGATCATTTAAAAAATAAACAGCCCTGGCCCCCCACCAAGGAGGAGTCACCACGGAACAACCCTTGTGCCTTCAGCCCTGCGTTAGGCAAACAAAGACAAAAGCAAAGAGGTGGGAAGAAAAGTTGAGAGCAGATGAGAATGAAGGAAAGAAGGAAAAGTGACACAGACACCACGCTGTGCCCATCTCCCAGGTCACAGCGCGCCCTGAGTACAAAGGCAGATGCCGAAGTGGAGCTCACACAGGGGAGTGGTAACTTTCCCGAGGTCGTGCAGCTCCCGGAACAGCGTGGAAATGCCGATTTATCTGAAGTCTTAAATAAAGGACATTTTCTTCCAAAGACAGGGCGCAAAATGATACAGTTTATCCATGTTTTATTAACACCCATTATGAATTTAAATGTGTCCAATATTTGATTTAGATAGGAAACTTCTGGGGTCATTTTACTTGTTTATTCTATGATTGTGGGAGGAATTAGGAGACCAGTAATTCTTTTCTGAATTTTCATCTTTACGAAAAGATAAAATGTGAGAGAAATGTAATAAATATGCCAACTAATTGCTATCGCAGACCTCATGGAGGGTGTCGCAACAGACTTAAGTCTGTGTGCTTTACAAAGCTTCTTTGTTACCTCAGTCTTCATAAGAAAAGTTTTATCAAACTAAGTCGTATTTGCTTTCCTCGCAGGCTACAAGGGAGGAGGGAATATTTCATCCTTGTTGACATTTATTTGGCCAACAGTGAGCAGAATTTGCAGCTTCAAGGACAAGTGCTGGAATCCCAGTGATTACGAAGAGAAGAGAGCTGCAAGTTCAAAACTTACAATATAGAAAGGAACAAAAGAAAAACTTACCAAATAAAACGTAGTACATGTATTGATTTATATTCCCAATGCTCTCTCTCCTGCAATTCAGTGTCACTTTACCTTAGACTTTAATTTGAGAGGATTCTTTACTTCCCTTCTTCCAGATTTCTTTTTCTAGTATGCACTACCCTTTAATATCCAGGTGAGAACTTCCATGTGTATTAATAAGAGCGGTGAATTATGCAGCATTCTGTGTCACTGCTAAATATGAACAGTTTCTTCCAGCATCATTATAATATTGTACATTTTAAAGACAAGAAAGCACAAGCTGAGTAACTATTGATCTTTTTCCGTTCTTCTTTCTGTCTCCAATACTCAGAAGCCTTTTGGATACACTTTCCCACTGACCTTCTCCAACAGAGCACATTTACATTTCTCTTTTCAACCTTCACTTTCCCCTTCTAAGTTTAAGTGGCCAACATTAAAATGCGCCAGAAAGGTCTCAGACTAAACAGCTCACACTACTTACTGTGGGACAGCTCAGAAAGGACTGAATAATCCCTTCCTTGGCTGCTGGGAGTCCTAGAGGCTGACCCTCACAGCTGAGCTGAGTTTCTCTCTCTCTCTTGCCTCTCTCTCTCTCTCTCTCTCTCTCTGTGTGTGTGTGTGTGTGTGTGTGTGTGTGTGTGTGTTGCCCTTTCCTGACAGAGGCTGCCATAGCCCATCTGTCAACTTTGCCTTGAAAGGAGCCCTATGCCCAGCATCTAGGCGAGGAGCAAATGCACAGTTTGCATGCTTGCTGCGAGTAGGGAGAAATATAGAGGGCGATCCCAGTTTCAAGTGGGCCTCTGAGCTACAACCATGTTCTAATTTCACCTCTCCTACCAAGTTCTGCTTCCTCTGTTCCCCGACAAAGGCTGCACACCCCTCCTACATGCAAATCAGTCTCAGTCTGTTTTCAGAGAACCCAATCCCAGACACATCTGGAAAAAGGCTTCAGTGGTTCAGAAGGTCAAGAAGAGCTCGGACAGAAATGTGACCAAGGCCCAACAGGCAGTGAAAAACATCGAACTTTGGTGACCCAGATGCTGAGGCAGCATGAAAAGAATAAGCAGGATACTGGAGAGGAGAGAAAGGTCCTCTGAACCTGTGCCTGGGATGCCTCGCACGTGGTGTTAGGCTCAACTCCTTAGGCAGAATCCTATGGTAGGGTCTTGTTGGTGATGGATTCCCCACTGCTGAGCCTGTGAAGTACAGAAGGCTTGAAGAACAGTGATTACTGCTCACACAGGGTAATAAGTGGAACCCAGAGCACCCTTATTGAAATTATGTGTCACCAGATAATACAGCATTATATTCTGTAACGATGGCCATTTTAGTGTAACTTGGGCTGTGATTATAAACATTAATATAAAGCCAGTCTTGATAACTTCACAATCCAGGAACTTTGGCAACTGTGTATTTTCCCGCCACAGTGATAAAACAGAAGCATCATCTTCTAAGGCTGAATATGAATGTTGAGAAGTTCCTAATATTCACCTATTGAAATGCTGTAACGAGGAAGTCCTTGGAATTTTCTTCCTCAGTGCCATGTGGTATGGGAGTAAATATTTTAACACACTGGAGTCTTGTATATAAACAAGATAATTAAATGAACTTGTTATTGTGTCTTTGTACTCTCATAGTCAAAAGCACAGCCAAAGTACCTAGATATAGTCTGACTAGTTCTGTTCTAATCTTTGAAAATGAACACTGTTTATCTTACAATTGAAGTTCAATGACCAGTCTAGAAAGTTCTATAAGAAAACAGCAAATATAAAACCACAAGCATTTGCTTATTGTCACACTATTGACTATAGTGATGAACTTCTTTGGAGGAAGGAAAAAGATTAGCAATTTTGTCAGGCGTGGTGGCACACACCTGAAATCCCAGCACTCGGGAGGCTGAGACAGGAGGATCCCTGTGAGTTTGAGACCAGCCTGAGCTACATAATGAGTTCCAGATCAATCTCAGCTACGTAGTGAGATCCTGTCTCAAAAAAAAAAAAAAAAAAAAAATTAGCAATTTTGTCCAACATTTTTTGTGTTGTGAGATATATCTCGCGCATGGGCTTAATTCCTGATAAGAAAATGAGCAAGTTCTTGGAAGAAAGAGATTATGCATTAATGGGAGAAGGATGGAAAGTTACAATCTAATTTTCAGGCACAAACCTGTGAAATACAAAGCAAAGTCAGCAAGGAAGTTGAATTTCTTCATTGGAAAAAGTCAACAATTGTTTCAATTGTTGTGGGACAGAAGTTTTCAGGAGACTAGCATTTTAGGGGCAAGGAGATTAAAGGGCTGGTAGGTCTGCAGCTGTCCAGGTAATTTTAAGGCACTACCAGGAACTCTTTATAAACACCCGCTACCAAGAAGTGAGTTTTTGCCCCTGTGCCTAAAAGAAGAACGCAATTTAAGAGCAAGATGTTGTTAAATAGGTGAGGGTTACAATTTTTGTTTAAAGTGGGAGTCAGACATCTGAGATAGTCTCGGGCCTGGACATCCTATTAGGAATTAGTTCTTGGTGAGGCCCCTTCCGGTGATGTGTGGAGCAGAGAAAAGGTATGAAATCCATGGTCAGGCCTCTTCATCTGCACCTCCGCTGCTCAGCCGGAGGGCTTCTGCCCTTCTGAAGAAGCCTTGATAGTCACTATGGACATCTTTGCACAAGGGCACAGCTCTTCCCTTCCTAACAAAGTACGCAAAATCATTAAAACATATTTATCCAGTCTCCATTTCACATATGTAAGGCTCTGCCTAAACAGTTCCAAAAGACCTCCTAATGGAGCACGTAAGCTGCTTTGTTACCCGAACACTAGATTCAAACTACTTTTACAATACTGTTGAGCAATTCTGAAAGAATCGGAAAAGCACGTTAACCAAGCTTATTATTGCTAAAATGTTCTGCTTCCATGAATATCATGGCACAGATTACATAAGCAGTGTAAGAAAATATATCTTTGATGCAAACAAGCAGCTACCTGTGAACACAAAGCCTGATCTGTATGCAAAATATTCCTGTGAGCATTCCAAAGGTCTAACTCTGACTCCTGACCTTGGACAAGGACGGTGCAGCGCAGGTGAACACATGAGCCTGGGGTCAAGGGACACCCACCGTAGAGGTTCTTTGAAGAACCGGAGTGGTGGTTTTAGGGTCAATACTTGGATATTGAAAGAAGGATCTTTAGAAAGTTTGGCAAGGGAATCATTATTTTTACAAACATTGACGTACTAAAATGCCTTAAATACATAATGAGAGTCAGTGCTCTCTTGAGATGTGCAGAAACATACTTATGAAGTAGAGATGATCTGCCACCTGTGCAAAATAAGCAGAATGCAAATAAATATT